AAAAAAAAAAAATCCAATAAATACACATTTTAAATGGAATTTAAAACTACTCCTTTGTGAAAGGACACTATAAACTTTCTTTCCATTATTGTGATATATAAGGATAGAGTTTTAAAAACAAGAGAAAATAAAAATCCCCCCCAAACAAGGGGGGGAGGGGAAAAAAAAAACCAATGTGGAGATATAAATATTAAGATCACGAAAAAAATCACCCGACAGCCGTAGTTTCTTCTTCAAAGTGCTGGGGCGGGGCGGGCGGGGGCACAGCCCGCGAGGACGTTGCCCTCCGAACCCGGCGGGGTATGGGACACTATAAACCCTGGAGTGTGGCGACCTGTGCCCTTGGTTCGGGTCCTCCTCGATGAACACTCCTGGGACTGGTTATTTGACCTTGAGAGTTCACGCGTCTCGGTGCACCGCCCACTTGGTTACAGTTCAGGAGTGGGGTGTCCGGGCTGCAGGATTCAGTGAGAACATAGGAATTTGGCGTTTCAGCTCTATGACCGCAAGCCCCAGGAATTTGAAGTCTGGGGATTAAATCAAGCCAACTCTGAAGCGTGAAGACAGCTGGACCAGAAATCAGAACCCCTGATCCTATCTGGGGTTCTTTTGTTAAATAGCTTAGTGTCCTAGGACAGGAAATGTGACTTCAATTTCTCCATTCCTAAAATATAATCCTTGCCTTTGTTCCTACGGGATTGCTTTTGTTTTTAAAACACGATGAAAGTTAATGTCTAGCAAGTAGGCACTGTTAACCATTTTAATTAGAGACGCTAAAATGTTTTTTTTTTGCTTTTGTTTTTGGTTTAAATTAGCCTGGATAGAAATGTATTAGGGAGCCGTGAAGGAGGTTCGTTCACGTGAAAGAATTCAGATTAATAGATCAGATTAAAGCATTGAGATTTAACTTTCCAGCCCCAAAATTATGATGATATTCATACCAAAATATTGGGAAAAGATTCCACAGCGCATAATTTTGTCCAAATACAATCACTGCCTTCAAGAGACTTACAGTATAGAAACAGATTAAATAATGAATCCATTAAAGCAAATGATCCAATTAATAAGTGAACAAAAGATCTGATATACCTTTCTATAAAGAGGATATACAAATAACCAGTAAGTACATGAAAAGATACTCAATATCACTAGCAAGTGCAAGTCAAAACACGGAAGATACTGCAACAGGGTGATCCCAGGAAAAGGGGAGGTTCCAGGTTCCCTGCTACTAATTGTATTAAAGTTCCTTTACATTAAAGGTCTTACATGTTTTGTTTTGATGCCGCAGATGGCAGAACATATTTAGAGCCGGCAGATTTGGGGGTTCCGGGTGCCCCTCTCCCTGCCCTGTATTACCACTCACACCAAAAGCTAGGTAATGAGTGTTGGTGACTGTGGATAAATTAAAAACCTCATAACACTATTGGTGTAAAATGGTGCAACCCCTTAGAAAAACAGATTGATAGTTTTCAAACAGTTTTAAAAATAGACTTAACACATGACATGTCCACATAAAAATGTGTACAAATTGTGGGTGGCATTATTCATCACTGCAAAAGCATGTTTGGGAAATGATAAAGGATCTGGTTCAGCTGGAGCTGGTACGGGTGGTTACAATAACCAAGTATTATTTCACATTGAAGAAGAATGGGGGGAAATTTTAAAAATAACATAATAGTGTATTTTTACATCATTTACTTTGTGCCTTTTTCCATCTCAGTTGTAATCCCCGTGGGCTTCCCATCACCAAATCACCCTGTGCCATCGCCATAGTCCAGTGCACTTCCCTCCCCTCACAGTTTTTGATCCCATTCCCCCCTCCACCCTTGTAAAATGTCTCCCGTATGTAGTTGTTCATTATTTTTTCCTGAATGGGGGGAAATTTTTTAAATAAGGAGAACTATTGTGACATAATGTAAAGGAAGAATAAAGTTTGAAATAAGTTGGTAGAGATCATGGGAGGAGAGGTATGGGTATCAGTTGAGGAGATTATCTCTGCTTCTTTGCCTATTGGAGACTCTAAATCATAGGTCCTGTTAGCTCATGTAGATCTACCAAAAAGACTGCCAAACTTGGTGTGTGGAGTGTGGGTCCTGTAGAAGGTTGTCAAAATAGTCTTATTTTGAGTATGAAGTATTTTCCTGGTTGTTCAATACTGAAGAGGCTTCAGGACATTCCTTATCTGCCCTAGGGTGAAAATAAAAAATAAGTCAAGCCTCAAAGCTGCAGTATGATATGGACCAAATACCATTATTTCATCTCATTATATTATCCATTCTGTAGTTATTATGCATAATATATATTAAAAAGTCTATGCTAGGGCCTTCCCTGGTGGCGCAGCGGGTTAAAGCACGGCACTAAGAAGCTAAAGCCACTTCAGCATGAGTTCCATCCGGCCCCAGAGGTGACCCACATGGTGTGGCAGACCTCCCCTGACCCGCCCACTGCTCCTCTCAGCAGTGTACTTCGATGATCTGCCTGTTCTGCTCCCCACTCTGTCTCTGGTGAATCCTCTCACTGCCCCTGCCCCTCTGACCTGTATCCCAGTTCTGTATGTACAAATAAATAAATCTAAAAAAAAAAAAGTCTATGTTAGATGTAGTTTTTTTTTAAGATACCCTTCAACAGCTCAGGTTAATAAATATAATCTTAAGATTATTTTTAAATTTCATGTGTTTCCATCAGTCAGCCCCTGAAAATGCGTAGAAGAGCTTCTGGAGAGCCACCATAAGTCACGGTGGGATCCAGAGCAAAGCTGTCTCTGTTCCCAGTCCCTAGCAGGAAACCTCCTGTTCTTATCTTGATCTTATTTGTCCAGTTGGAATTAGTCTGTTTGCCAGGAGAAATGTCCCTTCAAACCCTTGCCAAAACTCATATGCTGAACTATGAAACTAGCTGCAGCCACTTCAGCATGAGTTCTATTGTTGGCCTGGGAGGTGACCCACATGGCATAGCAGACTTCTGTCTCACCCACTGCTCCCCCCAGCAGTGTACTTCGTCAATCTGTCTGTTCTGCTTCCCACTCTGTCTCTGATGAATCCTTTCACCCTCCACTCCCACACCTCTGGCCTGTAGCCACATTCTGTATGCATAAATAAATAAATCTTTGAAACAAAATGCATATGCTGAACGTGAAGACTAGTCAACCCAGGTCAGATCTAGACCCAGATCAGATCCAAACCCAATAATCCATGTGGTATAAAGGTGGGAGAAGGAAGGGCACCCTAATAAAGGCCTGACCACTATGGATCTTGAGTTGAAAGTTTAAAGTAAAATCTTTTTGACTGGGAGACACAAACCTTACCTATCTCTAAGAGGGCGAGAATAAGCAAAATTCTCTTCTGTTTGGCTGCCTGTCCATTCCATTATTTTTCCAGTGTAATGTAAATAAAAGTGCAAAAAAGAAGACTTGAAGATTTACAATGAAAGCAGGGAAATGCACATAATCTCACCATCCAGAAGTAACCACTGCTAACATTTTAATGTATTACCTTTTTTCTTTATGCACATACTTACCCCCACAAAGTTGAAGTCATATGTATCTATCA